GTTACGTGGTGTAGGTCCTTTGACAGTTGCCAAGGCCACTTAAGGGAGAGGAAAAGGAGTGATGGTTTGAAAGGAGGGAAACAAGAAAAAAGTACCAGCAAGAAAGAAAATAAAAGCAAGAAGGAAGTACCAGCAAGGAAGAAGCTAAAAGAAAGAAGTACAAGCAATAAAGACAGCAAACGCAAAAAAAGGAAGCGAAAAACCCACCATAAATAGGAGACATCCCCACTCATAATGCTGATGCTTAGGTAAAAAAGCTGAAAGCCAATAAGGTAAAACTGATGGTTAGGTAAAACTGCGAGCTCTCAGCTTTACCTGAGCACCAGCAGTTTGATCCCTGAGCTTTACCTAAGCATCAGCTTCATAAATGGGAAAATCCTTTACTGATAACGGGTTTCCCACTTACTTAAAGACTCCTTACTTATGAAGCTGATGCTTAGGTAAACCTTCCGTATGAAGTTGATGCTTAAGTAAAGCTGAGGAATCAAATTATTGATGCTTAGTTAGACCTGAGAGCTCTCAGCTTTACCTAAGCATCAGCTTTATAGATAGGGGTGTCCCCCTACTGGTGGCGGGTTTTTCGCTTGCTTTTCTTGTTTTTACTTTCTTTCTTACTTGTGCTTTTTTCTTCCTTTCACTTTCTTTCTTGCTGATACTTTTTTCTTGCTTTTATTTCCTTTTTGGCTTATGCTTTTTATGCGTTTTTGCATAATATGCAAATGCAAAAACGCATATTGTGACGACCCCGGTGTGTTTGTGTGTGCATGTATGTGTGTGTGTGTATGTGTGTGTGTGCGTCTGTCCGGATATTTTAACTCGGCACCCAAGCAAGCTCCGGCGCCGAAATTTTGCCAGTGGATTCCACACCAAAGTGCCGCCCCAGGACCGCGGTATCAACCCTCAAGCACGTCTAAGCCCCGCGTACGGGGGGTTAAAGTTTTGGCGGGAAAACCGCTAACTCGGGAACCAGGAGAGCTGGAAAGCTGAAATTTTGAGGTTATGTTTCCCGCCCCTATAGAACTTAGAGATTTCAAATTCAGCCCCCGGGGGTTTGTGGTTCCCGCGTACGGCCCTCTGAGGGTTCCTGGCGCGAAAATCGCTAGCTCGGGAACCAAGAAGGCTGGGAGGCTGAAATTTTCAGGAAATGTTCCCAACTCATTTATAACTTCATTTTATTAAATTCAGCCTCCCGCCATGCGTGTTTGCCGCGTACGGCTCCGTGAAAATTTTTGGCGGGAAAATGAATAACTCCAGAATCAGGGAAGTGGGAGGCTGAAATTTTCAGGAAATGTTCCCAACTCATCTACAACTTCAGTTTATCAAATTCAGCCTCTAATTTTCAGGAAATGTTCCCAACTCATCTACAACTTCAATTTATCAAATTCAGCCCCCCGCCATGCTGGTTGCCACGTACGGCCCCGTGAAAGTTCTTGGCGGGAAAATGAGTA